GCCCAGTGGACTGCACCGCCGCCCGCGCCCGGGCCCCCGCCCTCGCCAGGCCGGAGCACTGATCGGGCCGGGGGCGGGTCCGGGTCCGGGTCCGGGTCCGAGGCGGGTCCTGGCACTACCATGCGGGGCGAGCTCTGGCTCCTGGTGCTGGTGCTCAGGGAGGCCGCCCGGGCGCTGAGCCCCCAGCCCGGAGCAGGTAGGACTGGCCAGAGTGGGCCGGTGACCGAGGGGCGGGAGGGGCGGACAGGTGTGGGCAGGAGCTTGTGCGGACCGGCTGGTGATGTCCTTGTGGGGGTATTGTCTGAGGGGCCAGGAGCTCTGTGGGCTGCATTCAGGTGGACAGGGACCCACTGCCCCAAACACATAGGGTACGTGTGCGAGGCTAGAGGCTTCAGACACAGATACCCCGACCCTCTTTCCCTCCTGGAAGGAGATTTGAGGGACCCTAGGAGAGCGGGGCTCCATGAAGCAGTGGGCTCCAACCCCAAAGGGGACAACGGGAGAGTCATGGGGACTCCTGGCCATCCCAGGCGAGGCTGGGTTCTGATGAGCGGATGGGGAACCCGGGCGAGGTTCCCGCTTCATTTTTTCCTCCCTTTTCTCTTCCCTGTCCCCACCCCAAGCTGATCCAGCCCCCTTCCGAGTCGGGTTTGGGGACTGGGTGGGACAGCCAGGGGAGGGTAGAAACCTGGCATCTCCCCTAGGCAAAGCAGCCTAACTCGCCTTCTCCTCCTCTTCTGGTACCAGGAGAGAGGCCTGTGCACCCATGAAGAGGCAACTTACTGTTCCCCTATCCAGCCTGGAAGGTCTCCTGTCCCTCCCTCCTTCTTTGCCCTTCTGGCTTACTCTGGCTCTAGATGTGGGGAGGGGGCTCCTATCCTGCACACTCTTCTTTTCCCCACACCAGCTCCCCAACACCTTTCCCACCTGGAAGTTCTTTCTGAGATCTACCTTAAATTCCTCATGTTGTAGAAGGAGGACCATTTTTCAACACATTAGTTTTCATTCTCTCATGCACCTAGACTTTCTCTGGAGTTGGGAAGATGGTAATTCACAGCCAGGCCTCTTGACAGAGAGAATTGAGAAGAGATCTGTGCTTTTTCGGCATGGATGCCCTTCGGATGGGATGCAGCGGCAGGAGGGAGAGGTTGGCAAGGGAGTGGTTGGGCTGCTGTTTAAGTGACAGAACGAGTCAGGGACAACGTTCTTAATTTGAATGGTCCCAGTGTGTAACTGGGACAGGCCTGGGTCCCATCCTCTGGGGTGTTGAGAAGGGAGATGGAGGCAGGCAAGGGCGGTGATGGCGGAAGTGTGGACAGAGTTCAGTGGAAGCTGATGTAGCCAAGAGGCTGCTTGTGCAGAACCACTAGTTTGAGGGGAGATGGCTCAGAGGGTGGTCAGAGACTTGGCTTCTAGTCTCACCACCTCACTTGCTGTGTGACCTTGGGCAAGTTACGTTCCCTCTCTGGGCTTGTTGCCTCACTTATAAAGTGAGGCTGTTTGCAAAATGTTTGACTCTTGGTGGTGGGATTATGGGAGATCTTTTTTCTCTTTTCTGAATGTCTTTCCTTTTTAGATGTGTTATAATGCATACGGGTAATTGATAATTTTTTAAAAATCATC